AATAGATTTGAGAAATACTAGTAATTAGTTTTTCACGTTGCAAAGAACATAGGCCCACTCAGATGATTGCAAAGACAGATAAAATAATTAAGTACAGTATAAGTAATCTCAGAAGGTTTTTTAGAGAAATGGATTATTATCAGGACATGCCACAACTCATTCAACTCTTATATAATTACAACTTGCTCGTACTTTTTTCTTACTTGTGGTTTTACTACTCCATGGCTTTTACTTTTACAGTTTTCTCTACCTTACTGTCTGTTTCTGTGTTATGTCTCATATTCTCATATTCAAAGAGAGAATATGATCGGTTGAATAAGTCATCAGCCAACATAGAGTGCCCTTGCAAAGAAGAAAGCACTTATGCCTATCCTAGGTTGCCTCTGAGTCAAATCCATTCCTTGTTAAGTGGAGGATTTATGTATAATCAGTACAAATCCAGAGATACACAATCCCTAGCAGTTCAAAGGAAAAGCTTTCTGCATTAAGATATTAAGGGAGGGGGAGTTGCTGGTTGTGATTAGAAACTCACAGTGATGAATTTCTCAGTCACTCCCTCGATTTTGTAGCCCAAGAAAACTAGTTCGAAAATATGCCAAAAGTGCTGAAACGGGTTTGGCTCAGTGGATAGAGCGTCAGCCTGTGGACTGAAAGATCCCGGGTTCATTTCTGGTGAAGAGCATGCACCTGGGTTGCAGGCACATCCCCAGTAGGAGGAGTGCAAGAGGCAGCTGATAGATGATTCTCTCTCATCGATGTTTCTAACTCTCTATCCCTCTCCTTTCCTCTCTGTAAAAAAAATCAATAAAATATATTAAAAAAAAAAAAAAAAAGAAAGAAAGAAAATATGCCCAAAGTGGGTTTATCTCTCAAGGCAAACTCCGATTAAATAGGTTCATAGAGTCTGATCTATGAACCAGAGTGCCAAGTTACCAATTTACAATGAGAAATTTTAAATTATAGAGACCTAAATTAGTAAGTCGATGTGACTTACATATTTTCTCCCAATGGGACGACTTACATCTTTATTCCTTTGTTGAAAATCTATATTTTTATTTATTTCAGAGAGGAAGAAAGGAGAGAGATAGAGATATCAATGATGAGAGAGAATCATTGATGGGCTTCCTCCTACACACCCCACACTACAGATTGAACCCACCACCCAGGCATGTGGCCTGACTAGGAATCAAGCCCATTATCTCCTGGTTTATAGGTTGATGCTCAACCACTGAGCCACACCAGCCAGGCATATCTTCATTCCTTGAAGGAAGGAAAGGGAAAGGCAAAGGGCACAATGTGTGTGTCAGCTGAGACTGCCTATACCCCTACCTTTTAAAGTGCTTATATAGTGTCACCCAGTACTGTGTCACATGCCCAACTAATCTGTAAGTTGGGCTGAGAAATATGAATTTGGATTGGACTCACTGCCACTTAAAATAAACCAGAATTCTTCTTAGACATAAGGGATAATGAATATCAGACAGCCAGACAGGCAAAGGTCAATCTCTTCACACACAAAAATATCCCAGAGAACTAGGAGATAAGGGACCTAGGAATCATGCAGTCTATCAAGGAGAATATTGAAGATTTTCCATATTAACGTCATTGAAGGGAAGTCTCATGATAAAATTAGTGCAGAATGAGAAAAGATTCCTGGAACAAATGCAACCTATTATTCAATCTGTCAATGCTGAAAACAGATATGCAGCTGTGTGGAGATTTGGGATTAATTAGTGAACAGTACTGGACACTAAGCAAGTAAAAATGAAGATAATTATTATAAAGAAATATAACAGTCTTACAAGCCATAAAATGTTGTAGGGACATCTGGAGATACAGCAGAAGTGACATAATTTTTGAATTCCTACATTAAAATAAAGAAACAAAATAGTAAACTAAAAACTGTTAGCATTTACAACAAACTAGGTGATAACTTATTCCCACAAGCCCTAAAATACAAGTAGCTATAAAGCTCCTAAAAGAAAACATAGGAGAAAGATCTGCAATCTTTTGACAAAGATTTTTTATATAACACAAAAACATGAACCATAAAAGAAAAAAAAATGATACACTTGACTTCATCAAAATTAAAATATTTAACTCTTGAAGACACACCATTAAGAAAAGGCAATCTATAGATTGGGAGATTATATGTACAATACATATCTGTCAAAGGACTTAGGCCAGAATATGTCTGTCTTGTTTATCAATACTGCCTTATCTTCAATATCTTTATTATGCCCTACTCTTTCACCAGAAGTTGATGGAGATAATATTAGAAATGTATAACAAGTAATAATGGATACTAGACAGTTGTAAAAAGGGAGGATCTCTTACTCTTGAGATAGCATGGAGGGGCCTGGAGAGTATTATGCTAAACCATATTGATAGGGGGCCTCATAATCTAATAGCACCTGAGTTAATCTAAAAGATAATCATATTAGTTTGAAATTCTGAAAAGCATACACCTGTGGGAACAGAGGGTTATGTTTTTTTTCTTTTCTAAGTGTCATTTCTCGAGCCAGTGCACCTGTGTACTCCCTTTGATCCTAAACCACGTGATGGAGGAAGTGATTCAACTGCGGACAATATATACTATACGCAACACACAAGCAGATCTGTTAAGCAAGACCAGGCCGACCCTACCAGGAGCCAAGCTGTCATCTCATTGCCTGACAACCAAGAACGATGCATCTGCTGACGTCTGGGACTGCATGCAATTGCATTCTGTTCCCAACCTTACCCCAGCCCATTTTTCCTATATAATCCTGTCCCCTGCACCCTACGGGCAAAACAACCTTTGGATGCATGTAAACTCCCTGTCTTCTTGGTTGGCTGGCCTTCTCAATAAATGCCTTTTATGATTCAGTCCTGCCTTAGTTATTGGACATTGCCACAGGCAGTCTGAGCCCACCCGGGGGTTTCCTGGCAACAAAATCAGCCAGTCAGAGAAAGACAGGTATCACATGATCTCACTCATATGTAGAATCTAATGAACAAAATAAACCGATAAACAAAATATGTCCAGCCCAGCTGGCATAGCACAGTGGTTGAGCGTCTATCTATGAACCAGGATTTGATTCCTGGTCGGGGCATATGCCCGGGTTGTGGGCTCACCAATGTGAGGCATGCAGGAGGCAGCCAATCAATAATTCTCTCTCATCATCTCTCCCTTCCTCTCTGAAGTAAAAAAAAAAAAAAAAAAAAAAAAATATATATATATATATATATATATATATATATATATATATATATATATTTTTTTTTTTTTTTTTTAAAGGTCCAGAGACATAAAAGCATGGAACAGACAGATGAACCTCCGAGGGAAGGGAGTAGGGGGGACGGGAAAAACTCATCTATAATAATAAAAGCATGATATGCTAATTAGATTGGACAGCCAAATGACCTTCTGGACATCATTCCAGATGTTTTTCTGTAGTAGCTGTGGGGGCAGGGGCTGAGACAGAGGCAGTTAGGGGCGATCAGGCAGGCAGGTTAGCCATTAGGAGCCAGCAGTCCCGGATTGTGAGAGGGTGCAGGCTGGGCTCAGGGCCTCCCCTCATGCGCAGATTTTGTGCACCAGGCCTCTAGTCTTAATATATAAAGAGGTAATATGCACATTAGGCCCAGACACCATAACAGGACAACTAGACAGGAAGAGGGGCCAGGCACGTCCCCGAGCCTGAGAGAACAACATGCAGGCATGGCCCCAAGCCTGACAGAACAACACGCAGGGGCTCCAGCTCCTAGCCTCCGAGGCAGGGCTGGGGGCAGGCCCCCAGTGGACACACACACACACACACACACACACTTGAACTGAATGTATTAATCATTGGGTTATCAATTACTTTTGGTTTAAATAAAAATGCAGTCTATTACTGTTAGTTAAATAAAAATGCAGTCTATTACTTGGTTTGTTTGTTTTTTATTTGAGAGGATGGAGTGCTACTCTTATATTGACAGAAAGTATGTTCTGACTCCAGCTTATCCTTATAAAACTCAACTTAGAAATGTCTTCTGTTATCCAGAAAAAATGTAAAATATGAGGGAGTTTCTTAGTGCTAAGAAAGCCTCCCTGCCCCCGCACCAGGATTAGAGCAGAAATGAACGTATTCATGAATTAAAAAAGCATTTTCATTTAACTTTAAAAAAAAAATTAAATCCCGTAGATATATATTTAAAACAACCAAGGAAGATTTTCTTTTATGAGTGGAGATAAAACAGACTTCTCAAAACAATTATCTTCAAGTGGATTATCCTATATAATAAAAGTGTAATATGCAAATTGACCAAACAGCAGAACAACTAGTCAGTGAGGGGCCAGGGGCAGGGCAGGTGAGCAGGTGGCACTAGGTCAGCCAAGGAGCATGTCAGTGGACAGAGGAAGGAGATGGCGATGAGGACGGGGCTATTCCCTAATCAGCCTCGAGTCCCCCCTTCCCCCCCTCCCCCGCCCCGCCTCCCATAGAGGGAGGCCAGACTGCGGCCTAGGCCCGCTCCCTAAGCCATCAGGCAGGCATCCCCTGAGGGCTTCCAGACTGCAAGAGGGTGCAGGCCAGGTGCACCGGGCCTCTAGTAGATAATAAAAATAAAATCTTCTTATTTGAAAGATCTATAAAGCTAATTGAGAAGACAACAAACTTTCTTTCAGTCCCTTTCAGCTAAAAATGCTGAAGAAAGTAAGACTCTTATGTTTCCTAACTTAATTCTTTGCTGACCTTTTCACCAATCCCTTAACCCCAAATAAAAGGTCAAAAGAGTCAAAGTCTCATAAGAATAGATTTTTCGATCTGATAGAAAAAAATGTTGTAAAATATTTTTCTCGGGCGGGTCAGCTGTGGAGGGTGTAGTAGGGGCATTCTCCTTGCAGAGCCGACCGGCTCTGGCGCCCAGGCAGCCGGACTTGGCGGGAGGCGTGTTCGCGGTGAATTCCGCTGCAGCTCTTCTGGGATGGCCGCCAGGCAGGTTGCTCTGCTGACCTCCATCACCTTCTCCTAAAGATGCATCCTGACTTATCTCCACACTTGCACACTGAAGAATGCAACGCCTTGATTAACTTACTTAAGGAATGTCACAAAAATCACAGCATTCTGAAATTTTTTGGTCATTGCAATGACCTTGATCGGGAGATGAGAAAATGCTTGAAGAATGAGTACATGGAAAAAAGAACCAAGAGCAAGAAGCTTGGCAACGCGATGCGAAAGAGACTTTCAAATCCTCCAGAGGAATCTGAAACATAAATTATATTATCACTGGATACCTTGGCTGAGAGAAGATCTGAAGACTCTTGGTTGATAAAACCAAAAGAATCATATCTCATTTGGTCTCCAGAATCTTTTGAATAGCAAGTGACCCAGAAGAAATACAGAAACGCTGGATTCAGGATATTTCTTGGGCAGAGCCTTTAGTGCTCTGATTCCTTTATCAACACACCTGACTTTTAATGTGTTTCTTTACTTTGCCTACAACCATTTAACATTTGAGTAATTTATCACCCTCAATAAAATAATTGACTTTACTCATATTTTCTCTGTTCTTTTAGACTCTACTGGAATTAAAGAGAACATTAGACTTTTCCTTTTGACAACATGGCAATTCTAGAGCTTAAACATTGAAGATACAAGCTATGGCTCAGTGGTTAAGCGTCAACCTGTGTATCAGAAGTCATGGTTTGTTCCAGGTCAAGCCATATGCCTGGGTTTCGGGCTTGATCCCCAGTAGGGGGCATGCAGGAGGCAGCCAATAGATGTTTCCCTCTCATTAATGTTTCTATTTCTCCCTCCCTCCTTCCTTCCTCTTTCTGAAATAAATAAAAACATCAAATAAAAAAGATACAAGCTAAGGCAAAAAGAGTTTGAGGAAATTTCTAGCTGTGTTAACTATATGAAAATGTTGCAACTTCATTGTTCTTAAAAGAGCCCTTTTCTAAAAGATTAAGTGTTTAACATTGATAAAATTACTTCTAGTTAGAATTGAAGTCTTGGTGGACTTCGGTTCTTGTTGGGTTAGATGTGCCCATCTGGAATCCAGTTAACTCCTGGGCATTAACCTTAGGCCAACATGCCTACTCTTGCTGGGTACAGGGCTCTTCTTCCCATACTCACTTCTTAGCAGCATTCTTTCTGCCTGGTGTTTCTGAGACCTGTGAGAATCTGAAAGTCAGCAACATCCAGCCACATGACAGCATGGCTTGATCTTGACAGATAAATTGTCAACCGACTGAACTATGAGCTCCTTCTATTGAAATCGTTGTGTGTTCAGCATAAGGCCTTGTTGGTATCAGTGTTGAATAAGTGATTTCCATATCATAAGAGGTGTTCAAGAGGCTAGACATTCATTCACTTAGTGAGGTGGTTATGTGGAAGGTAGTTACATAGACATGAGCAGAGCAAGGATGATAGGCTAGGTACAGAAGATCACCAGAATGGAAAGCCCCAAGTGCCTAGCAGCAGACACTTGTAAGGTGGGACCTCACCCCCAGGGGGACTTTTCTTCCCCTAGAATATCTCTGATCATGAAATTTGGACTCCCTGACATTCCCTCCCTAGAGATAATATCTAGGCCTCAGCAATATTCCAGCTCCAGGTCCGAAAGCAGCAAAATCAGACCAGTGACCCCATGACTGCCCTCAGGACCAGCTGCATTGGATAATGACCTCTTGCCCTGGTGCCAGCCATTCAATCAATAGAGACCACAACCCTGAAAGGATACACCTGGAAAACTGCTGAGTATTCTGTTGAAATCTTTCCCTGGAACATTCTCTAAAATTTCCACCCTTAAAACCCTTAGGATATAGGACCCAGTTCGCTCACGCCTTCCCTCCAAGGGCCCTTCCCTCCCCGTTTATTCATTTCCTGTGCCTTACAACATCTTCCACAATAGCACTCATTCCTCTCTTATGTTAATTCTGTGGTTTGGTGTGTATTCCCACCAATAAGACTCTGATAACCAAATATTCACTTATGTAGCCTGTCAGCATTTTATTATTTTATGTATGTGTTAATTTTCTTTTTTTACAAAAAAATTCAAACATACACTGAGTGGCCAGATTATTATGATCTCTGAACACATAATAATCTGGCCACTCACTGTGTGTGTGTGTGTGTGTGTATTTTAGAGGCCCGGTGCATGAATTTGTGCATGGTGAGGTATGGCCAGCCTGGCCACAGGTAGGGTACATGGGCCTGCCTGCTGGACAAACTCCTGATCAAGGAGACAATTAGCATATTAGCCTTTTATTATATAGAATATACACTGAGTGGCCAGATTATTATGCATTCAGAGATCATAATAATCTGGCCACTCAGTGTATACAAAAATAAAAAAGATCACCTTGCTTTTAACAATTATCACATAGTCATCTTATTTCTTCTATGGCACCACCCATTTCTCACTACCACCTTCCGCCTCAGATTCTTTTGAAGCAACTTGTTTCAAGTATAGGTTTCCCCACCAAAATACAGTGTTCCTATGAAAAATTTTTCAAAAATATTTTTTTATTTCTTCATTTTAAGGAGAAAAAGGAAGGAAGGTGGAAGAGAAAGAGAGAGAAAGAGAGAGAGAGAGAGAGAGAGAGAGACCCATTTGTTGTTCCACTTACTTATGCATTCATTAGTTGCTTCTAGTATGTGCCCTCACAGACAAATCCGCAACCTTGACGTATCCTGACAACACACTCTAACCAACTGAGATACCCCACCAGGGCGCCTGTGAAATCTTTTGTAAGTCAAAATGTTGTAAAGCAAAGAAATGTATTAATTTATATGGAAATATTTTTTAACATTCCCAAAAAACATAACCTACCAAATTACATCAAATAACACATAAAACCTAAAATAATACTAACATACAGTTAAAGTAGAAATGCACAAAATAAACTGAAATACAGCACAGATGCTCACAGACACAGCTCAAAGCTATAGTGGCGTCGTGATGGGAAGGAGGTTGGGAGGCCACACTCCTGCTGCTGCCTTTAGAATGGCTTATTGCAAATCAGGTACTGAATGCTATTTTCACCCTTTTTTTTTTTTTTAAATAAAAAGTCCTCTTCAGATTTCTTTCAGTTAGTGGAAACCAGTAGTAATGTAGGTCTTTCATAAAAGCGAAGTGGTATAACTTGAACTTGCAAAAAGCTGAGCATTAATGTATATGTTGTTTTTGCTAACAAACTAGCTCTGTTTCTTCCTTGGGGTCTTAGTGCAATGTCCATCATATGACTTCCTCTTTCTGTTCAGGAGTTGGATTTCTACCTTTGACCTTGCCATACATCTGATAAATGACCAAATCTAGCTGGAATTCAGTACATATAAAATATGATGACTACATACATAAATTCAGAATGGAGCTAACAGGGAAAATAAAACCCTGACAATATGGGCAAGAAAAATGATACCACAGTGAGAGCTCTGTGTGTTAAAGAAAATCTGTAATATTGTGTAGAATAAATGTTTAGGGAATTGGTTGGCTAACAGGTCCTCAAAAGCTTGCATTTTTGTGTTAGATACTACTTTAAAATAGTAAAAACCCATTACAGTACACATTTTATATACTATATAATAATGGATTTGCATTTTACCTATTAGAAATGGAAACTTTCTCTTAAAATTAAGATGACTGTAACTATCTGTAGCCACATCACCCCTTTGTTCCTCAAACTTCTCTAGGGTAATTTTTACTCTTGTTCAAAGAGCTTGACTTACTCATCCTTAACTCTTAAAGCAATAGCACCACCCTGTGGAAATATGGAAATGTTTTCTCACACTAGAACTTTTTAGAAATGTTCTTAACATGCCAAGTAACTCTTTAGCAGTCTGGTGAAGTTTTGGATGCCTTCTCAGATTAATGTTTTTAAATGCAGTAAATACAATACAAAAAAATTACAAAAGAAACCAATTATACAAAAACAAATTGTAGCCAGGTGTTCATGGACTCCAGTTAAGAAGCCATAATCGGAAACTAGGAACATAAAACTCTCCTGGCTCAGTGGTTGAGTGTGGACCAATGAACCAGGAGGGCACTGGTTCGATTCCCAGTCAGGGCACATTCCTGGGTTATAGGCTTAATCCCCAGTGTGGGGGATGCAAGAGGCAGCCAATCAATGATTCTCTCTCATCATTGATATTTCTATCTCTCTTGCCCTCTCCCTTTCTCTCTTAAATAAATACAAATATATTTTTTTTAAAAAAAATTTTAAAGTAGCTCCAGGTACCACTGCAGGGCACCTTGGGGGCCCTGTTGCTAGTTAGGTGAGCAGTGGCTATTGGACTGCAGCTCTCTGAAACGAGGCATCGAGGAAGAGGCTGGGGGTGTGGGAAGAACGACAATTAGCACTGCAGATTTTAGCAATAACAAAGACTTATCAAATATTTCAGGCTCTCCTGGGCACATGTGGCAGGGTTGAACTTTCCAGCTCTTTTTAGTGAATGGAGTCATATGATAGGTGCAGGCCAATGATTTGTCAGTGCAAGTGGCATGTTTTTCTTCTGGTTTAATTGTTAATGTAACACTGCTCAGAATTTTCTTTCCCACTGACATAAAGATGATATTCAAGATGGCAGCTACTCTGACAGCCTGCACCCCTATGCCCATTGCGGCATTATTCCTGGTAGCCAAGACATGGAAACAACTAAAGTGCTTTTCTATAGATGATTGGAAAAAGAAGATGTGGTACATATATACAATGGAATACTACTCAGCTATAAGAAAAGGAAGATGAAATACTGACATTTGGGACAATGTGGATGGATCTTGGGAATATTATGCTAGGTGAAATAAATCAGTCAGATAAAGCTAAGACCCTTATGAGTTCACTCATATGTGGGATATAAAACTGAAACACATAAACAACAGTATGGTGGTTACCAGAGGAAAGGGGGTGGGGGAGTAGTAAAGGGCAAAGGGGGGCAAGTATATGGTGAAGGAAGATGATTTGACTTTGGATGATGGGCACACAATGCAATATACAGATTTTGTCTCAGAAATCTACACTTGAGACCTACATAATCTTATTAACCAATGTTACCCCAATAAATTTTAAAAACATATTTTTATTGATTTCAGGGAGAGGAGAAAAGAGAGGGAGAGAGAAAGAAACATCAACGATGAGAGAGAATCATTGACCAACTGCCTCCCACAAGCCCCCTACTGGGGATCAAGCCTAAAGCCTGGGCATAACCCTAACTGGTTTGGCTCAGTGGATAGAGCATTGGCCTGCAGACTGAAGGATCCCAGGTTTGATTCC